AACAAAAAGTGTAATTAAAACGCGAGCAGATGCTGGAAAACCGCGCGGTAATAATGAGTAGAGAGAGAGAGAGAGAGAGAGAGAGAGAGCAGGTCTAATTAAAAATTATCGCGCGATGTTGCAAACGATCGAAGTTTCGTAGATGAGCGTTCGAACGACGATTCACAGCCGCCTCATCTAAGCGGTCGCGAGTTCAGTTTGCGAGCGTACGCGGATCGAGTGGGTCGTAAATTTCACCGCGTGCACCTCTTTGTTCTCCATCCGTTCTTAATCCTCGTTTAATCTTCGATCGAGAGGAATAACGTTAATATTAAAGAGGACGAGATAAAGAGAGAGGAGATAAAATCACGCGTTTTTTTTCGTTGTTTCGCAGCTGATGGAGGAGTTCAAACGTGCCCACCGAAAGATGTTCAACAGCGCGCAGCAAAAAGTCCATTTCTCGGATCAGGTGACGGACCAGGTAAGAGAGTTAAGATAAGCTTATCGACGAGTCGATTGATTTCATATTCTCGAATATATGCGCGATTATGTATCTTCGTCGGAAGATTCGTGATATTCCTTCGTTGTTGTTGTTGCAACGATTACGATTAGTATCTTTGTTGGAATCATCCACCGTGTTCCGACTTTCGAGAAATTTTCTCGAATTATTAATGACGAGCGAGTAGAGAGAGGCGTTGATTTCTTCATCTCTCTGATCTCTTTCATCGAACGTGTTCTATTACAAACACCGTAAAATACCGTAGAGTAAAGTTCCGACGTTTACTATTATACTTTCACCGTTTCCTTTCTTCGACGGTGAAGACGTTACAGCCTTTGATTACGCGAAAAGATCTCGGTTGGTGGATAAAATTCCTGAGATGCGAGCACGAGTTGATCAAAGAGTTGGAATTGGTCTTGGTGCTTGCTTTATTTATCGCCTCGATAAAAAAAAGAAAAGGAAAGAAAAGAAATGAAAAGCGGAACTGAGAATAACATAATTAATTAAAAATCCTCGTTAAGCCATCCATTACGAAATTGAACACGAATCCCGAACATCTTGCTTGGCAACCGACAGAGATTCAATAGCGATATAAAAAAGAAAGGGAGAAGGGAAAAAAAGAAGAAGAAGAATTGAATAAATAATATAAATAATATTTCGATGCATCTTTCGTGTTCTCGAAAACGTTATCCCGGTCGCGTCTCGCTTTTAATTACACAACCTTCTTTTCGAATATCTGGCAAAGTAAATAAGATAACGCGTTACGAAGAATTTGAAGCCGATCATTGTTTGCGAGTCGCGAACATGTGTGCAACACGCGCAACGTTGCACCTGAATTTACGCTCGATATACGTATTTACGAGCCACGTTTATTAACTGTTATACACGCGCGCGTTATATATCGTTCGAATCGGCAAGATAGAGAAACGATCTGCCTCTCTTATAATCGCGCAACCCGCTACGTCTCGTCTCAGTCGGAGTGAATCTGCCGCGCGATTCGAGGCCTGGATCGAGCCTTAATACGGCGTTAAATCGCGCTCCTCTAATTAGAGAATCGCGGTTAACTAATTAAGGTTGACAATTGATTACGAGCGAATCTTTCTAAATCTTTCGAGCGCTATCCCGCTAATTAACGATCCTGGTTAATCGATTGAATAAGAAAAAGGAAAGAAATCGCTCGAATTTTTTTTTTTTTATTCCCCAACCGATCGCGACGTTGAACGACGTTCTTGAGAAAATTAACCGCGAATTCGATGAATCATTATATAATCCGGTTATCGGTGTTGTTAAACGTGGTTAATAAACGTGGACGGTTCAACGGTTCGTTGGAAACAGTGGGTGCGCTGTGTTCGATCCGTTCGAGTGTACGCGCGAGTGACCGCCCCCTCGATCGTCGTTTCACCAGGTGGACGGTGTCGGTTCGCCTCTTACGAATTGCGGCAGACATGGAAAATAATAGAGCTTACATAAGAACGAGTAACCGCTCGCAACTGTTTTCAGTCGGCTCGAATCGTCGTGGTCGTCGTGCGATCGGTTTCAAGGTGGTCGGCGCGAGTACAACTGTCGTCGCGAAATAGGAGCTCGCGGAGCGATTAACGAAAAAGCGCCATTTAACGTAAACCGCAGCCAATCAAGACGAAGACAAGTACGACGAGTAATTGGGGGGGAAAAATAGCGAGGACGAATATATGTATATATATATATATATATATATATATGTACGTATAAACGTTCGACCTCGAGTTCCACGACCGTGCGCAAAGTGCAGCACTTCTCCGAAAGGCTACGTTTTAAACGAGTCGGAAGTGATTTACAAAAAGACGCTTGAAATTGAACCGTTATGCTGTCCGTGCTCGCAGCAGAAGGAAAGTTAATCGAAGGAAAAATGCTCTAGACTTTTGAAACCGAAGAAGCATGAACGGTTTGCTGAGCAACGGTGAACGGACGAGCCGCGTGTTGGTTACCATCACGCCATACGGTGTTAGTTATCGAATTTTTATCTCACCAATTAGCATTTTTAACCATTATAATTAGCATTCTCCTTTAATCTACGTGCATCGTTACGTGGAAAATTTTTACTCGAATATTTAAAACGTTGCGTTCGGGCAACGAGTAAACACCGGTCTCTAGAGAAATTTAAAATTATTGCGTCTCGAAGCGATCTTCGTCATACTCTACGCGTCTAAAAATAAATCGTAAATATCATCGTTTCTTTTCATCGTAAACAAATTTACCTGTTAAGTTTCCACAATGATTTTTTTTTTTTTTTACTCCTATTATTAACTCTCTCGTTCAACTGTGCGACCAGGAGCAAGAGAAAAGGGTATTGAACAACGCGACGTCAACGCCACCAACAACAACGATACCAACAGCACCGAGCATACCTCCTGCGCCTCCTGCACCTCCGGCGCCCCCAGCACCGCCTACGCCGCCGTCTGCGCCACCGGCTCCGCCGCCGCTTCCGCTTCCCTCCAAGCCCAAGTGTAGCGAGGATTCCGTCGAGATGCAGAGCATAGAGTCTTTCAAATTGAAAGAGACGCCGAACCCGGTGATTCCAAAGCCCCCGCCTACGTACTTCCCTATGCAAAATTCCGCGGCCGTGTCTAACGGAAGTCCGCGACACGGGGCCGGAAACAAGGCGCAAGTGAATGGGAAAGAGTCGTCGTGCTCGTCGTCGAGCCCGGTGTCGGAGACGGCGAAGACGGCCGCGCCCCCTCCGCCAGCCACGAACGCGCAAAATGTGAAACCACCGAGCGGAAAGGTGGCCATTAGGATAGGCGCGTACGAAGGGGAAGCGAAACAACCGTCTAAACTCGACTTCCTGTCGCAACAGCCTCGTGCGGATAGAAACGGCACGGACGAATTGGCGAACGGGCCAGTGGTTTCGAGACTGCAGAACGAATTGGCTGCCACGTTGCAAAGATCGAACCTAAGAAGAAAGACTGACGGGGTGAGTTAAAAAAATTTCGAATAAAGTTACTTTAAATAATTGCTTATTATTAAAGTGACACGAATAACTAATTTGTTCGTAATTATTGTAGTTGATCCGTTTTTCGTATAACCTTTGACACTACAGTAGTCGGTGATTATTATTACATTATAAAATTATTCAAGTAACTTTATTCGTAATTTCAATTATTATAAATTTTGCCCATCATTCTGGACGACGTTCGTTCTCAAAATATTAATCAATTTCGATTGAATAAATCGAATTATCTCTCTTTAATTCAAAATATTCTTTTATTCAGTTTTACGTTATAATTATGAGATGTAAAAGAAATTTGATTGGAGTTAGAAAATAACAAGTTTTTGCTTATTGTTGTTCTGTTCGTTTCAAAAAAAAAAAAAAAAAAAAAAAAAAAAAAAAAAAAAAAAAAAAAAAAAAAAAAAAAAAAAAAAAAAAAAGAAAAGAAATAAACGAAGATCAGTGTGTAAAAAAAGTTATTATTATTATATAGTTGGTAGATAAGCACAACGCCGTTGGGAATTGTACATGTCAGGTAGTACACGATAAAGGTAGAAATTAAGTTAATTATACGTGTATCGCTAAACAACGTGATCGTGAGGCGACGAGCGAGGAATTTCAAGGAAATAGTCGCGTATATATAGCTCGAAAACGTTTCACTTTGTGTTTCAGGAAGCACAGCCAACCATTAAACCGATCCCCGAAAACACAGCTGTGTCAAACAACGAGACAACGAACTCGGAGCCGGGAAAGTTGGGTCAGAGCAACGTCGAGAAGCTCGCGTCCGCTCTGAACAACAAAGTCACCATCAAAGTGAACCCGGAGCATAATAATCGATAAAAAAAAAAAAAAAAAAAAAAAAAAAAGTTAGCTTTCGTTTATATAAAATAAAAAGGAAAAAAGAAGAAAAAAGGAAAAAAAGGAGAAAAAAAAAAAAAAAAAGAAATAAGTCGAAACAAGTCGTTTTTTAGAAGTCCACCATGTACCTCTGCCACTTTGTACATTTTTGCACGCTCTTTCAACTTACATCGACTTTTTTATTCTAGATTGAAAAAGCGCTCCCCCTATTGGCGAGCTTCTTTTTTACTTGTCTTTTATCTGTATGTCTTTTTTTATATGTTATTTATTATATCGTATTGTAGCGAGTAAGGAGTAAAAAAAGAAAAAAAAAAGAAAAAAAAAAAAGAAAAAAGGAAAAAAAAAAAGAAAAAAAAAATAAAGCTAAACTCTACTCTTAATTAACCGAAACGACAGGCACTGCGACACCTTTTACCACGTAGGCCCGAGTCTATAAAAGAAACTTAGTCCCCTCCGTCGCCGACTAATGTACAGGTCGCGAGACTCGATGGAGGCATTGAACTGAAAAAATAAAAACGATGATATCCAATGGAATTAGATCGTTTCTTCGCTTTCTCCCCTTTCAAAGTGATCCTAAAGTTGTAAAAATCGTAAAAAAAAGAAAAAAAAAAAAAAAAAAAACCAATATCGTCCATGACACAATGATATAACGATTAATAAAAGTTTGCTTCGATTGATTCACTTTTGTGACAACTTCAAGCTCGTCGACGATGCTTCGTCGAAAAATTACATGCAAACACGCCCTCTAACAAAAGTGATCGGCTTACATGACAACTTCGTTCGGAAGTTATTAACCTCTCGCGAGCGGATTCGTCGTACAAATCGATGGTCGTGTCAAAAAAAAATTAACCGGTCGTGTATCGAATCTTGTGTAATTTTTTTTCTATATGAATAAAAGTTCGACTCGATGCACCAAACATGTAAAATCAAATCTCGTCATCGTACGAGGAACTCCGAGGTGGATCAAAACAGGATTAAAAAATTATTGGCCTCCGAGTATTCAGACTTCTCCGACGTTATCCTCGTGGAATCCCCGTTTGCCGAGACGACCAGGAACGGTCGTGGAATTCGACAAGTTTCCCTCGCTCTTACGCCTTCGAAATTAATCGTAGCTGCCGACGTTTTCAACGAGAAGTCGCAATTCTTCTGCCCACGTACCCTCGATCCCAGCATCGAAAGTTTCGAGCTTATTTCAGTGTATCCTTTACGATGCGTCAACCTGAGCATATTCAGCAGAAGACGTCGAAAAACCTTAAAGGCAAGGTAGACATTTCACGAGAGAAGGGATGAGAGAAAAAAAAAAAAAAAATATCGTCGCACAAAAAAGCGACAGCTTTCACAACTTTCGCCAAGTATTTTTCACGAGTGTAACGTAATTGAATTGACGCGTTCACCGATAATTAAATACCGATTTAGATTTATCGACGGAAGAGTAAACTATTACGAGCTCGGAGGTATACAGAGAAGAAACATTTTGTGGAAGAAATGGTGCGAACACGTGGAGAATTTGCTCGCGAGCAAGATGAACGGGAGCTCGTTGTCGGAGACAACTGCCGCAAGTTCATCGAGCAGTACAACCTTGTACATCCTTTCCTCGGAGATCGAGATTCGGAAGAACTCGAAGAAAAATGGGAAAAGAGCAGTGTGCAGGTGATATCGAATTTAATTTTCTAAATTATTTTCATCTCATTTTCTTTTCTTTATCTTTAATTTCTTATCTTTACCAAGTTAAAACTATTACGTCATATCTAACGTGATTCACGAATCGAACACAGAATATGGACTCATTACGGAGGCGCAGGTGATTACGCGCCTCCGACGTGGTGTCAGAAGGATTTGTATCTCGGGCCGTCTTACAACGAGTTGATGGACGGTCGATACGCCCCGATTCCCATAAGATTCGCCGGTGCCAGCCTGGAAGATATCAAGACCGAGCTGGAGGATTTCTCACCGATCAAGATCGAGAAAATGACGCGTAGCTGGCCCACGTGTCGGTGTTTCAAGGAGAAACACAAGAACGACGTTCTTTGCGACGTACTGTTCATCAGAGATCACAATCGAAAATATTACAACACGAGCAAATTCTACACGACTTGTCAGGGTTGCCCCCGTAACCACCTGCAAGCGAAGATATTGGAGGATAGAGCGATCGAGAAAAGGAGCGTGTGGTACAGGCAGGAAACGTTGGACGAGGCGCTCGCGAAAGAGGAGAGGGACGAGGCGAGGAGTCCTAAAAAGGGTCTGACGAGAAGGATATCCCGATTCGGTTTCGGAGTGCCGGAAAAATGCCACTCGGGATTGGTTCTCGGCCCGATTAACGCGGACCGCGAGTTCACCACGGATATGAGCGTGAAACAGGCGCACAATTTCTACGCTCTGATGGAAAACGGTGTAAAGGTTTGGGAGGGCAAGAAGAAGGGTCGATGCAAGTCGTTGTATTGCAAACACTTCAGGAGATACGGTATCTGCACCGCGCCTCATTTTCATTACGCGCTTGGCCCCTGGTCGGTCCAACCGGGAGAGCGGTGCACCCTCCAAGGTCGAAGATCGTTCAGCTTGGTCACGA